TTGGGCAGGGTTGTTTTTTTTTTTTTTTTTTTTTTTTTTTGGGACAGGCTTCATTTGTGAAAAGGAGCTAGCCCAGTAGGTACAGACATGGGGATCAAACCTGACCAACGCATTTTTTATTTAAAAAAAAAAAGAAAAAAAAGTGTGACCTGACAGATTTTTTTTCTTTCTATATTCTTCTCTCAACTTCTGTTTTTGCCTTTCACAACCTACTCCTAAGGCTATTTAGAGGGGACCCCTGCAGGCATATTTTCCTCTCACTGTGAAGGGGAGATTTCATGTTGCCCCTTGCCCCTAATGTTTATGGTATAGGGTTGGGGCCGCCAGTGGGGGTCTGGCTAACACAAAGACCGAGACCTGCCAGTAGCTGCGCCTCCCTTTCTCATCGTCCCCCACCCCTCATCCAGTAGCAGCAGTGGCTATGGCCAACACTCTCCCACACCCATACACAACCCATGCCCGGCTAAAAAAAAAAAAAGAAAAAAAATGAAAGACAGATTGGGCAGTGTTGAAGTTCTTAACTTTTCCGAAGGTATCCGCGCGCGATTTCGATCAGAAACATTCACGAAAGTCGCCGAGCGCGACTGACCGCCGGAAAGACAGAACAGCAAGGTGGGGTCCCGCGTGCCCAAGTGCTTGATTATTTGCCGTGGATATCTGTGATCTACGGTCAAGACTCAAGAATCCATCTTAGGCGCGGGACATCGGCCAAGGAGTTTCCCAGGACCTGCCTTGGTTCTCGCGGGCATGTCAAAACTCCGGGGGCTAGGTCCCACTTGCACGAATTAAGAGATAGAGACCGTAGATGGCCGAGATCAACGGCCGAAATCTCCTAATCCGTGCAAGTGGGACCTTGCCCCGGCACTCGCCGTCGAATCTGGTCGTGTACACGAGCGTCAGACCCATTTGGAAGGGTCTCCTTTCCCGCCAATACAAACTGAGCGCCTTTGGAAGGGTCGCCTTTCCCGCCAAGACAAATTGAGCGCCAAGACTCTCTTTCATACGAAAGTCCAAAAGCCCTTCCAGACTTTTTTTCCCCTCCCCCCCCCCCCCCCCCCCCCCCCCCCCCCCCCCCCCCGGTCCTTCCAGACTTTCGGAGCGAAGCCGGAGCCAATATATATAATGCGTGACGTGTTTTGCCGCCAGTTGGTGAGGGAATGTCGAAAACCCGGCGCCACTTTTTGAAGCGAAGGGAGGGTCAGATCGGCAAATTGGAATCGCCATCGCTGAGACTCCCGTAGCACAGTGCGTAACGCTTGTTTTCGGTATTTTTCATGTCTTTTGTTGTGATCACTTTGACTACATTCTGCCGCATCTTCTTTCTCTTTGATTTTTTGTTGTCCTCCCTACGTTTTCGTTACGTGTGTGCACTTGCCTCCACACTTTGTCTGGGTGCTTTCCCCAATGTTCGGTTCTCGTGTTGCTTACCAGTGCCGTACAATTTTTCTGTTCGCCTTCGTTGACGCAGCCCTCGTCTCGTCGATTTTTTCCTGACCGCGTCTCTTTCTTAACCGTCCCTTTTTTCTTTTGTTTTTTTTTCTGTGTTTTATTGGGGAGAGAGAGAGAGAGAGATGATGTGGATGCATCTTGGCGATCGTCGTGATTCTGGAGCTCTTGGTGCATACTTGCTCGCACTGGAAACATTGTCAATCAGTTTCTGGCTTTTTTTGTCTGCCACGTGGTGCTGCCTCTCTTGTATGAGACTGGTTAATTTTGGTTCACATTACATTTTATATTTTATATTTTCATATTTATTAGGCAGCGCGTTGCAACGCGACGGTAGACTGCCCGTGAGTGGTGAGAAACTGAATGAAGAGATGGTGGTGGATTTTGGGAGATTATAGGACCAGTATCGAACGATATTTTAATTGGTGATTTGATCTGTCTGTGGTAATCAGTCTTCGAAGAGAGTATATGGATCGGTCGGTCCAGACCACGTGGTGCCTTCCTGGGCAATATACAGGTTGTAGACTAGCTGTTTCTATCTTCGTTCTCATTCATCTACTTGTCAATCTGCTAGCCTTGGTAATGACGATGCTAGGCATGACCTCGTTTTTGTTTGATCTGTTGTTCCTTATCCGTTACGATCGCCATCGTCATCACCTTCATTCCTAAGTCGTTTTCAACATTCCGGTAAGCTTTTGTTCGAGAGTGCGACCGCTATGACAACAGTTCTTAAGGGATGTGGTTGCGGTTGGTAGGGAAGCGGGGCCATGACATCAGTTGATGAGGGGGTGTAGGAGAGTGTGTGTGTGTGTGTGTGTTCGTGTGTGTGTGTGCGTGTGTGTGTGCGTGTGGTGTGTGTGTGTGTGTGTGTGTGTGTGTGTGTGTGTG